CAGTCGTCCAGCCTGGAAGTAATAAATGCATGAACTAGTTTTTCAAAGCGTTTAAATGAGAGAGAAACAGGAAGTGATCCGTCTCTCTGTCTCCAGGTGAGCCATGCCGCTGGTGAAGCGAATCATCGAGCCTCGGTACCTGTGCCGCGGCTCTCTGCCTGATGGGGTCGCCAGTGAGCTGGAGTGCGTCACCAACAGCACGCTGGCTGCTGTCATCAAACAGCTGGGAGGACTCAGTAAGTTTCGGTTATCGATGCTTCAGCTAACCTCCATGCACTCTGCATTTACAGTTTAATAAAGTTTATTCAATGCAAATCATGTGATGACATCATTCCTGCAGTGAGACTTTCTGTTCATTCTGCTTCTGTTAGTAGCCTAAGCCACAGCTAACCAATCAGCTTAGTGCAGCCAGGTAAAAACAGAGCCCAGTATCACAGACTGTAAATAAAGATGGAAGTAGATCTCTGAGACCCAGTAGGAGAGGACTCCTCTGGTCTCAGTCTGACTGAATAAAACAGGAAGTTTATTTTTGTGGTCATACTGAAGCAGGAATCGCTCTCATCACATGCTAAAAACACGTGGAGTGAAGCTCCGCCTACAGCCCAGGTGTGGGAGTCCAAACACACACAAACACCTCCTCTCAAAAGCTTGACTGTCAGTTGTGTGTGAGCGTTACCTGCGTGCAGGTGTACACATTCATCCTGTCACTGACAGAAGCTCGTGGTGAATGTTTGTGTTCCCAGCAGATTAAAATCAAAGCCGTGATCGTTACGAGTGGCTTAACGGGAGCACGGGTGCAGGAACAGCTCCTGCTCGTTAGAGTTGACCTTTAGGGTCGTTTTCTGTGGATGGAAGCATTTGATCTCATCCACACTGAAGCTCAGTGAGTCTGTGTGAGCTCACTCAGTCCACGGCGTAGTAATAACATGTCTTACTTCCTGATGATGGCATGCAGGTCGCCATGCGGAGGACATTTTTGGCGAGCTGTTCACGGAGGCTAACAGCTTCTACCTGAGAATGAACAGCCTGCAGGAGAGAGTGGACCTGCTGGCTGTGAAGGTCACTCAGCTGGATTCCACCGTGGAGGAAGGTTGGTGAGAATCACTGCCCTCAGATCATGTGACCATCCAGCGCCTCCACCTGTTTATAGATTCTGTATCTCTTCTGTGTGCTTCCAGTCTCGCTGCAGGACATCAATATGCGGAAAGCTTTTAGAAGCAGTACCATTCAGGACCAGCAGGTGGTGTCACGGAGCTCCATCCCTAATCCAGCGCTGGAGATGTACCAACGCTGTGACAAGCCACCACCCCTCAACATCCTGACAGCCTACAGGTTAGTTTAAACTCCGCCCACAATGTCCTGCAGGTTGTAGGCGGACGAGTTTAAATTATTTGCAGGTAATTTAAACTCAGAGGTTTTGTTGTTGTGTCTGCAGGGACGACAAGAAGGCTGGTCTGAAGTTCTACACCGACCCATCGTACTTCTTCAGCCTGTGGAAGGAAAAGATGCTGCAGGCCACCGAGAACAAACGCAAGGAGAAGAGACGGCAGAAGGTTCATCCATCCATATTCATCCAACCATATTCACCCACGCATCCATGCATCCAACCACGATCATCCATGCATCCAACCACGATCATCCATCCATCTATCCACGCATCCAACCACGATCATCCATCCATC